CATTTCAAAATTTTTGAAAAATATGAAATAATATATAATTATATAAAAAATACAGGTTATGATACATAATATAATTCGGAAATAATTGACGATAAAATATACACGGTGTTGCATTTAAAAAATACACATTCACACATTTTTTACTATGCCACTGGATTATACGTGAAAATATCTAAAAGACAAAGTTTTTATCTTTTTTCCACCTTGTATGGGTAGTAAGATATTATAACATCCTAAGAAGTTAAACTTTTCGATTTCGCCCTGCATCTCAGAAACAAACGTAGCTAGATTGATTCTGTTTGTGACATTACAATTTTCACAAAAAAAGTGGCACAGGGTCGCGAAAACCCCAAGTCTGTATTGTTAAAAACATGTGAGATACATCGCAGTCTCAACCAAAATAGGACACACGGTACAACAATCGACTGCATTTAAGTACTGTACATTATCATCTATCGAGTAGTAGGTAAATTAAATTATATTATTTTATTTGTCACACTAATACTGGGTTTATAGAATCATTATCATTAAAAGGAATAGCTAATAGAAACAAAGGTATGTATGGTTTCGTTGGTTAGCGACGCTGCGACGAACAATAAACCTTTGTTTCTATTGGCTATTTCTTAATGATCTAATGACAGTTAAGTAATGCTAATGATTGTATAAACCCACGATTATAGTTTTGTATTGACAACATTGTTAATCGGAATTGCTAAATAGCGTGGTCAAAGTACACATATAGCTTCACAAAAAATAAAAACCTCTTGAAATTTCAAATTTGAGTATTCAAAAGGGTCGTGCTTAATATGAAAAATTCTTTACAAAGATAGGTATGCAATTTTCCGAAAAATCGTCGAGTGAAAAATTTTGTTTTCGTTTTTTCACTGTAATTGTTTAAATATTAAATATACGGAAAAAAGTTTCAATTAAAGTTTGTAGCTGATGCATTTATCGACAAAATTTGTCTGTAAAGTTTTTCTGTAAATTGACAAGTGTACGAGATATAATTGATTTCAGCGGAAGTTGATTCGTGGGTGGGCGCGAACGTCCCGTGAGCCGAATTGATTAAAGGCTTGATTTAAAAGTTAATAATTTGAAGATTGTGATGCACTGAAAGAACTAACAAAGTTAATATATTTCAATGAAACTTTATCTGTAAATACTTTGAAGTATATACTTTCAAAACTTAATACAATTCTTCTGTAAATAACAAATTTTTTAAATAATAGACAATTATTTATATCAGACGTCTTTTAGAAAATCTAACATAACTATTTTCAGTGCTAATTTAGAAAAACACAACGTAGATAGTGACGAAGATGAAGATAATGATGACTTCGACGATCAAACAACGATAAATGTTGATAATCAAGACACTCAAGGTTCACATTTTGAGGATAACTTCAGTGAAGATGAAAATGATATTGAGTTATATTTGAGCTTGGAAGACGAATGATACTGATTGATTTCGATATGATAAATAAATGAAAACTCTACGTTTCTATCTGTCATTGTTTATTTACTATCTTAAAATTAAAAACTTGAAAATTTATGATGTTTAAAAATACTCTTAGGAAAATTTGGTATATTTCAAAAACTAATGATCAGAAAACTTTTCAGACAAATTTTGTAAGTAAATGCATTGTCTATAATTTTTGATTTGAACATTTTTCTGTATTTTCATTATTTAAACAATTAGAGTGAAAAAACAAATAACAAAATTGTCGACCAAAGTTCTTCCGGAAAATTGCTTACCTACATTGGTAAAGATTTTCTCATATTAAGCACAATCCTTTTAACTACCTAAATTTGAATTTCCAAAAGGTTTTTACTTTTTGCTGCATTTTACGGATATTTTGTGTACTTTGACCAGGCTAAAATGCTATATCAAACATTCTTTACCAATAAATTAGGTGGCCACCTACGCCCCTCCATATGTGACTGACACCCACGGACCAGACCATTTTTTCAAATTCTGTTTTTAGGGAAGGTTTTGTCCGTCTGTTCCTCGCCTAATTCGAGAATGAAAAAAAGACGGCGATCGCATTTCACCACAGTTTTATGCAAATTAGAATCTGGTCCAAAAATAGAAATTTTATGTGATTTTATCCGACGCCAGCGTCGCTCAAGGCACCTCGCATACCATAATAAATTATTGTTTTAAATAAATAAATATAGTTCGGATCGGTATAGTGTTTGTATTATTGTGTAGTAGGTACCGATACGTATTAAATTTCAATAAGAGGTTATCTATTATTTTTTAATTTAATGAATTGCTTATTGTTTTGTAGTTTATCGTTTTTACTAAATATATAAATTACCAACAATATTTCATATTAGAGATACGCATTACATATTACAATATCAAAGAGACAGCTTTATTAGATTATATTTTAATCACTAGCGATTTTATCGGGATTGGTAATTTTCACTATTTGAATATTCTCCTTCTAACTAAAGGAATGAAGAATGCTATTATATGTTGTAGTTGCATGAATCACTTATCTCTTTTTTTAGATTTCTTGAGTTTGTCTTATAAGTAGGTAGGTACTCGACAAGAAGTCAACCCCATCCCTTTTTCTGAGAATTCCAAAACGAACCTGCCTTTCATTTTAACATCAAAGTTGCACAATGGTAACCGTCCTAGTCGAATATTTTGTTATTTTGTAATGCCATCGCCGTTATAATAGAAATGAAGCATTATTTATTATAAATTTGACTACATACATCACAATTCAATACCTAATTTACCAAAGTTTGATGTTTATATTATGTACCCTATAAGAGTGTGCTTATCGATTTTAGAGTAATATATTTTTGCTGGACTTTACAATCCGATAATTATTCACAATGTCAAATGTGCAATCAGGTGGCCGAGTTTGTCAACCCCTCAAGTTTCTGAGACAAACTGTTAAAATGCCTGCGGGGGCGGTAAATACCGGTTCGCACTTGGGGGTTCAACCCGTGGTAAACACAGATGCTGCTTTGAAGCTCAAGTGAGGAAATGAGAGCAACTGTTAGAAATATAAATAAATTATTAAATATTGGATCGTAATGTTTATCAGGAAAAAATAGCTTGTTTGGAAACGACACGAAATCTTTAACGAAGATCCTTTTCGCTATCTCAATATCCTGGATTACCAGTATCGGCTTGTTAAATATAAAGAATCCAAAATAAGGCGAATCATATTTCTTTCCGGTTCGCTCCAGGTACTTGTTCAAGTTATCTCTTTCGAAAAAGAAGCGCCAGAAGCTGCCGAAGAACAAAGTTGGTTTGTCGTATGGCACACCTCTCGATTCCCAGTACTTGTACTTATTTTTAAAATAGTGTACGATTGCACAGGTGCCGATCAATAGTGCAGTGGCAATTGTCAACAGTATCATATTGACTTATGCTTTTTGAACCAAGAAGCGAGAAATCGTATTTGGTGGTTGACCTTTGTTCCTGAATTATTCCCAGCGTAGAATTTACTCTGCATTAATTATTGTGATAGAATAAAGTTTAAAAAGAAATTAATTATTTACCATGTACTCACTTGAAAGAAATGTCCTTTGGAGCATAATATAGTTATAGATTGTACGTGGTCATTTTTGGAGGCAGAAACATTGATCAATTGCTCGGGTTATCTAAAAACGTACACTGTTATCGCAATGCTTATTTTTATAATTGGAGTAAAGTCTCATTGTATGATGTATAGGTGTGATTCGTCTGCATATTATTCCCATTTTGCCATTTTTCAAGTTGCAAAATAATACAAACGACACTCGTAAATCCACGTAGACAAATACCTTAAATTACATTCAAAGCAAATACGCGAAGCATGCATTTATTTACTAATAATCTAATTAGGGATGATTTACTGATATCAGTTAAATAAAGAAACAAACTAAGTGGTATTGTAGGTTGAAACAAGGGGTTTATCAACTTCGTTTCATGGCAAAACGAACATAAGGTCAGTAGTCAACTGATATACTTAATGAGCGACCTTTTAAAATTTTACTGTTACGTATACCATAGATTAAAAAATTTAATATATGCGATACATTTCAATATTAATTTGTTGTTGAAATATGAACGACTGTGGTAATTTTAGAAGTACAAGACTGTAGGTACTCCCATTGCCGATTTGTATTTATTTACGTTTTAAATGGATTTACTGACAGTAATTATTGTTGTGAGCGTTATAATTTGTCTGTACTTAGACATAAAGAAACCCAACAGTTATTGGAAGGACTTGGGCGTGCCCTACGCTGAGTCAACTTTACTATTTGGAAACTTGCTTTCGCTGCTACAAACTAAATCCACCCCAGTCTGGTTCAGGCATTTATATTCATCAACAAAACACTCATTCTATGAATTTCAGTGCTTTTGATAAAAGATCCAGAATTGATCAAAGAAATGTTTATCAAACATTCCGACTCATTGCCTCACAGGTTAGGTGGGCAAGACTGAAAACAAATAGTATAAGTAAGTAGAAAAGTGTGTGCTGTTTAAATATATGTTTATATTTTTATATTTCAACATTAGTTAATTTCTTTCATACTCTTGGGACACACAAATAATTAAAGGGCATCCAAACAAAGACAAACTAAAGAAGTAAGGGGAAATTTACTAGAGTAAGAGAATTTCGTAGAAAAACATATTGTTGAAAATAGCTTTCAGGAAGATTTAGGCTTCTGATTTTCTTAAGAATGATACGAATTTTATTATTCAAAATATGATTGACTTACTTTTACTCACTTGATAATTGTTAAAAAATACATAATCATGAACCATTTACAACATTCTCCCACCTTGGGAACGAAACCATTAGTGAACAATAAATTATAAAGACAAACGCAAAACTGGTTTAATAATTCGGCCACTTCTGCTCACTTTAGGTACATTAGCAGACTCATTACCACTGCTTGTACCTTGTGCATCATTTAAAGTAGAATCATAATGCTCGTTTTCTAAAGATCCGATGGTACACCTGATGGCGACGATGAATTTTGGTTGTCCATGTTCTCTTCAATCGAATCAAGACATTCGAGAGGGTAGAGTCGTTGAAATGGACGTAATACAATCCCCTTGGCAGTTTTAAGTCGCACTAGCCGAACCTGACGATCCTTTCCAGGAAATATTTCTGTAATTCTTCCTAATGGCCAGTCTATTCGTTTATTCTGATCATTACCAATCAGCACAATTTCATTCAATCGAACTTGAATATTTTTCTTTCCTTTGGAAGACAACTTCAGTTGACCCAAGTATTCTGTTCTAAAACGCTGACGAAGATTTTCTCGAAGTTTCTGACGATATGCAATCCGCTTATTTAAAGAAGACGAATCAATTGCATCCAAGTCAGGTACACCAATATCCCGTTGTTCTTGTAGAAAAGAATTTGGTGTTAATGGAGAGAGTTCCGATGGATCATCTGATAGATATGTAATTGGCCTTGAATTAACTATAGCTTCACAATCACACGAAACCGATACCAATTCTTCATAATTCAGGTAGGTGCCTAGTACTCTCCGAAGTAAAGATTTCAAAATTCTTATTATTCCTTCTCAAAATCCGCCCCACCACGCGGCGGTTGGTGGGTTAAAATACCACGTTATGCGATTAATTGCACTATACTTTAAAATAGTGGACCAGTCAATTTTTGATAATGCGTTTCGCGAACCGATAAAATTTGTTCCGCAATCACTATATACTAAGTCCAGTTCACCATTTCTATGTGATATCTTAGTCTTCAATCGTATAATACTTTCAGCATCTACAAAAGGAGATAAAAATGACAATTGTTTTGTATCAACGAAAGAATCTTTTTGAATTAATTTCAACAGACATTTTTCAGCGATTTCTCGTTCTTCAGCCGACAACACGTGAGACATATGTCTATCTTCACTGTTACGGTAGTTATATGAAAATCGTAGAATTCAACCAAAAAGAGATACTAAGTCGTCATACTTAGAAAATCGTTCATTATACCAATAGGAACATTCATAATTGATCATTGAAACAATTAATTTCTTCCGACGTTCTGCATTAATTTCATGTTCATTCAGGGCGGAAAGTTAATCAAATTCTGGCCAATTTTCTGGAAGACTATACAGCAAAACTATGTCCCTCCCACCATCGCGGTTCCAACAATTGTTTTGGTGAGCATCCACGTGATGGTAAGTCTGTAGGATTTAATGACATATGTCTCCAATCTTTTTTAGATTGTTTGTCAACATGATCAACAATGCCGATAACATCAAAATTCGATAACTTTGTGTTGGTAACATCTTTACATAAAATCGAGGTCACAGACATTGTGGTAATGCCTTTTGGCTTGTTTAGAACAGGAACTTTGCCCAACAATGTCCAACCCAAATACGTTTCTACAGCTACCGGACCACAATCTAAATCATACTTTTTGCCTGTTAGTAATTTTCCAGCTACATCTGCGCCTATGAGTATCTCCACCGGAGTGGCGATTGTAATTTGTAACATCCGATATTGTTATCTGCAATCTGTCTAATTCATTCATCTATGGTCCATTAAAGACTGGTATATTGTCGCAGATAATCGATTGTTCTAAAACTTCGAATCGAAAAGCATACCTCTGATCCAAATCTAAGACCCTTACATCATAACACGCATGATCTTGCTCATCAGTACTGGTACCCCCAAATAAGGTATGAATAATTTTCTCCCGCCTCTTAACTGGATATTCTAATTCTTCTGCAGTTGATCTTAAAATGTAAGAACGTTGAGAACCAGTATCCACTATTGCGCGTACTTCACGCATAGTATTATCGTTACGGATCAAAACTTTAAGAGTTTGCAAAAAAAACGTGTCTGTCTCAAATATTAGACAATGCTTTTTCAACAGAAGTGGTTTGATGACTTCTTTCCACAATGTTCTCAGAAGTAGCAGCTTTATTGCTCGCTAAATTTGAACACATGAGTGGTACATGCTTACCATTACAAATGATGCATTTTAGCCTTTGACGACATCTTTTACTGTTATGTCCTAATTTTAGACAAGAAAAGCATGCCCTTTTATTGCTTAACAAGTGTTGTTTCTCCGACAGTAACATTTTCCGAACCATAAAGCATGACTCACTATACTGTATTCATTTTAAGAAGGTAGCGGTAGAAAGCATAGGGAAGCTTTGACCTTCACTGTGGTTGGTTAAAACACGAGTCAGTATTACAATGAAACATAAAACGACTGCTGAATTTTGTAAGGTGGTAGTTTATGTTGCCAACTAAACTGCCGAAGTGTCATTAGTTGTTATTGTCAAAGATTTATTTCTGTTCGCAGTGCTGAATATTTCTACTCTACAATAATTTGGTGCCGTTTTATATTTTCCCTGTGTGTGTTTATCTTCAAACACAGCGCCATCTACTACCTTCTTATAGTGAATGAAGTATAGCATGATCTTTTTTGCAAAACAAACATTTTGCAAGAGTGTTTACTGACAGTAGAGCTGCTGCAGTCGGTATCGACTCACTCGTTTTAAATTTGGGTTTCTTGTCTTTATTATCTGTCTGAGGTAAAAACCCTTCAACAGCTAAATTAATGCGTTCATCATTTTGTACCTCAGGCCTTATAAAACACATTAAAACATCTAATCTCGTTTTTAATGTTCCACCAGCATTACCCGAAAACTGAGATGATCGTTGCCAAGCTCTTAATAAATCTTCTGGCAAACAAGATTCGACTAAAGGGTATAGCATAGCAGAACATGTATCAGTTGTCACGCCAAAAGTACTTAATGCTCTTAATTGTGTTTCAATACGATCATATAAACTAGACAGACCTAGTTTTTGATTAGGGAGACAATGCCTTATTTAAAATAATTTTTAATAGCTCCCGTACGTAGACTTCAACTAATAGGTCTTTCAATAGCTTCAGTATAATTGTCACCCGTGGGAGGAAAACTATTTAATAATTCACTTGCACGAGTACCCGAAGACATTGCCTGAATCAAATATTGAAATTTATCTTCATTAGTGAGTACATTGTCCTCGTGTATCTTACGAAATTGACTCCAAAATGACAACCAATTTCGTATATCACCATTGAATTTTTTAAATTCAATAGTAGGCAGCTTGATTCTGCGGAAGATCCCTTTGTTACTATTTGTTTCACTACGAACGCTTTGAGCTTCGTTATGAGCTTCATTATTACAAATTACAGCAGAAGAGACTAGTTCTTCACATTGCAGATTCAAGCTCTTAAAAGAAAACTCATACTTATCTACGCATGCTATTTCCGTATCTAACTGATCCTCCGTAGCGTCAGCATCCAACATCAAGTCATAAATCTCTTGATTGGCCTGTCGTAGAGATTCAGCTTTTTCATGAAACAGCTCTAAGTTAGCACGAATGGTATTAACGTCTGGTGATTCTGCTTCTATCATCTTAGTCAACTTATTTGCGATCGTCGTGAACGCCCTACGTACCGCTGAACGCGACTTCGTTGCCCGATCCATATCTTTAAAGCGTAGTCTTACAAACGCAAATGATACACAAATAGTTTAAAAATCAGCCTAAAATGTCAACAATCTTATTGCAGAAAGATTTTACCTCGGATTTTACACAAACCCCTTGTCCTGTCACCGTCGCCAAATGTTGAAAATAGCTTTCAGGAAGATTTAGGCTTCTGATTTTCTTAAGAATGATACGAATTTTATTATTCAAAATATGATTGACTGACAGATTTTTTTTATTACTTTTGCTAACTTGATAATTGTTCAAAAATACATAATCATGAACCATTTACAACACACATAGTTACCTACCGAGATAGAACAAAAGAATCAAGATAATATGTCCAAGACAATAGAGAAGATAGTAACAACTAAGGGTCAGCTCATCAGTTCCAATAGGTACCAAATCGGAAACTAAGAGCTCCACAAGTTCCGATAAAATCCGTACAGATGAGCACCAAATTATAAAACGCAAAAATTTGTTTGGAAACGACGAGAAATCTCTAACCAAGAGGAATT